ATATCTTTTTATATACTGTATTTTATATAAATAGATAGCTTTTTAGACCATGTAAAAAGTAGGATTTGACAAGTCAGCTTTTAGTAGTTTTAAGAGGCAAACAGGCCTATCATATTACATTTTGAGTTTCATACTTCGTTTCTTTATTTTCTTTTCTTTTCTTTTCTCTAGTCATATCTTTTATTTTCTTTATTTCTACTTCTATTCTTATCAATAAACATCTTACTTGAAAATATAATTACTTGATACCTTGTGAATTAATGACCGTAAAATACTCATTTAAACCTTGACTTGAAACCTTTACTTGAATTAGTTGTGATAATAAACTTGTAAAAGCCTTGAGATTACTGTGCTAATTAAAAAGAAATAACACTCTGATACTCTGTCTAACAGTTGTAGTTCGCAAGAATTACACGTTAACATTTGGCGACAATGACAGGACTCTCTTTTCCTAATTGCATAGTAATACCCTATGAGAATACTACATGAATACCTTTGAGAACTTATTTTAAATTCAGCAAACACATTACGCACAACATTTATCAAAAGAACAGAACAACTAACTAAAAATTACCTTTGTAGATGACGCATTGTGTATTATTTGTTATCCTTCATCCGTTCCATCAGAGCAAACTCTTGCCTTTCGTGTCTTTCTTAAGTGGACTCGTCTTATACTTGAAGCTCGACAATACACTAGCAAAACTATAACTGAGTTTGATTTAGCTAATAATTCACCAACTCTAGAGTTACAAATACTCTATTATTGATGCGTATTATACTCCTTCGTATATAATAAACTACTTTCTTACATTTTTGACTAAGCTATCAATTTAGCAATACAAACGCATTGTCAGACTAACATATTTAATAAGGATCCCAGAAGCCTAATTTCTAAATACTTTGAAACTCCTACATCAAGCGTACCTCCCTTACCTTCACTAGTTATTTTAAGAACAACTACAATGACTAGGCCAAACCTCCCTCACCTTCACTAGTTATTTTAAGAACAACTACAATGACTAGGCCAAAAGGATCAACTACCGAAACTGTTAGGCCACAAGCCCCTCCAGAACCATTGGATACAACTGAAGACAACTGTTCTTTTTCTGGAGATGACGCTGGCGATTATGATGAAAGCTATCCACCAGATGATGTTATTACAGTACAAGTTACTCCTAGCGGAAGTAGACATGTGGATTTTCATGAATCTACATTCGATTATAAAAGCTTTGGAAACTATAGAAATCAAAATACTCCACCTCCTTCTGGAACTGAACAAAATAACCCACTTCCTTCGAGAACTAAACAAACTAATCTACCTCCCTCTGGAACTGGGAAAACTAAGCAATCTTCCTCCAGAATAGGACAAGCCAATCAACCGCCTTCAGGTATAAGGAAATCTAATAAATCTTCATCGGGAACTGGACAATCTGACCTGACTCCATCTGGATCGAAAAATAAAGGAACAACTTCCAGTCAAAAGAATTCCAATAAGTCTGGCTCATCTAAATCAGGATCACCTCTATCTCAAAGTCAGTCTAAAAAGAAAAAGTCAGACAAAAAGAAGAGAAGCTGTCATTCTTCTTCCTACTATGACAGCTTATCTTCATCATCTAATTCTGAATCAGAGCATAATAATTCTGACGGTAATGAATCTGAAAATGATCCTTTCGATGAAAATAATGTGACTAATCAAAGTCAACTTAACCTCTTCCAAATGATGAAAGGACTGATCACTGTTTTTAAAAATATTGGATTGGGTGGACAACGTGAAGGTAAATTCATGGATCTCCCTTCTTTTAAAGGTGGAGACCAGGACCCTTGTAATTGGTTGAAAAGATATAATAATGCAGGTGACGCAAATGGCATATCGGATAAGAGACGTCTTATCCTAGTACCATCATTTTTAAAGGCCTCAGCTCTTACCTGATACAATAAAACCAGAAATGAAAAGACTTACGATACTGGGATAACCAAACTGACTGATAACATAAGCATCGATCCTTTGTCTATCACTTCTTGAAATATTATTACACCACTCACCGATAAACGCAATGGCGTTCTGCACTTAGGTGATGTAAACAACGTCCTGGACAATCTGTTAAGAATTATGCAACCGATATCGAATCCTTATACCTTAAATTAGATCCAGATTATAATACACCTGAGGATGAAAAGATTGAATAATTTCTGCAAGGACTTGATCGAGCATGAGCTGTTCAAGCAGTATTATCCAAAGATAGTACACTTTCGGGTTACTCCTTAAGCAAAGCATATTTAACACAGAATGAGGATGATACTTCTGAAACCTTCAATACTGCCCCAAACATGCAACAACTCATCAATAGAAATAATGAAAAGTTACTAAAAGAGTTTAAGCAACTTCTAACTACTTTCAACACTACTCCACAGCCTCAAATTACAACTCCTCACCCTGCGAATACCAATAATAACTGGAAAAATAATAATAACACCAATAATTATAATAATAGTAGTAATAATAATAATCGTAACAACAATAATCAGAGCATCCCAAGTTGTTATAACTGTGGACAAACTGGGCATTTTGCTAGGAGCTGTACTCAATAGAGGAATTTTCAAAACAACCAAAATAATAGAGGAAATAACTGATATCCTTTAAATAATGCCTCAAACGTAGGAGTTAGTTGTCATAATTGCCAACAAACAGGATATATAGCTAGGAACTGTAACAACGTACTCAGAGGATCATGTCCGTTCTGCAATCAGTTTGGATATTGGAGAAGATTGTGCCCAAATAGAAATAACAATACTAGTAATACCAATTGGAATACATCGAATGGGTATAATAATATTAATAATGAACAATATGCAGCACTCTCTCAAATTACGCCAATGTACAGTTTGATGTTCACACCTCTCCCTCAAACGTCAATGACCTTTTCAGTATCAAATCCGCTACCAGTAATTAATAAAAATACCTTCTCATCTTTGTCGCAGTCTTTAAACTATTGACGGTACCTTTAGAGGGTGAGCGTACTAATGAATATATAAACTTCTTAGAACTACCAAAAGCAGTTAAAGCCATTTATTGTAGTGCTACGGTAGACAATAAACCAATTTATTTAATATTAGATTCTGGATCAGCAGGAAGTGTAATGTCTAAAGCATTTTTGCAACAATTAGGACAGAAAATTGAATCTGCATCTACAATAATAATGATTAATATACAAGGTGGACGATTTCGACCCCTAGGACGAGTTACGAATATTCCCTTACAATTAAATGGAGTAGAAATTCCAATTAATGTAGATATCACTGAATCGACTGATTATTACATTGTAGCAGGAAATGACTGGCTTTCAAAATGCCGAGAATGACTTTATTGGGACTGTCAAAAATTTACATTTTATTGGAATAGTAGAGAATATCAAGTACCAATGACTTGTTAGTAAAAACCACAATTTGACCATTTCTAACAACCAGTAGTTATTACCAATAAATTAGTTGATAATAATGAAGAATATGAGGAGGAGGAATTAATAGCCCAACGACATTATGTAGTATTTGGAGACCAAGATGATTTAACCCTTTTGGCCAAAAGTAATCCCAAACAAATTTCTGTAGAAAGACAAAAGTATTCACCCCAATACTTTGAAAGCCTAAAACAAAAATTTGAAGTTCAACTACCTAAAGAAGCTAAGTAGAAATTCAATTGGCAAGGACCCAGAAATCGATGTTGGTGTAATAACAAATTAAATAAACATGACGATATTTGTCAACTTTGCAAAAAGGAATGGGATTACTGGCAATTATTGCAAATATTCCTGATGAGCCACCAGTTCAAGCAAATACATACTCACATTTGAATAAGCACCAGCAACTATAAATCACCGGATTCCTTGATAAAAATGAAAATGCATTTGCTAATAACCTACCTCAGTTGGAACACACCACAATAGAAAATCATCACATCCCAGTAGAAAATCCAATGCCAATACGACAGCGTACATATCGAGTAGCTCCCTTAGAACAAGAATTCATTAAAGAAGAAGTTGATAGAATGCTAGAACATAATTTAATTTAACGTTCTGAAAGCCTTGGGCCCCACCAGTCATTATAGTAAGGAAAAAGAATGAAAAACTTCGATTTTGTATTGATTATAGGAAATTGAACAGTGTCACCCAATGGGATGGACACCTTTTGCCTCGTATTGATGAATTGCTTAACATGTTTAGAAAAGCAAAGTATTTCTCAACATTGGACTTAGCAAGCGGATATTGGCAGATTGCTATGGATCCAAATGATCAGGCTAAAACAGCATTTATAACCAGCCAAGGACTTTATGAATTTAAAGTTATGCCATTTGGATTAACAAATACCCCTGCGACCTTTCAATATCTGATGAATAAAATCTTTGGAGAAGAAATTGGACGATTTTTAGCTGTATACCTCGACGATATTATTATTTTCTCAACTACCTTTGATGAACACATACAGTATTTGCAATTAATTTTTAAAAGATTAAAGGACGCTGGACTAAAGTTTGGAAAGGATAAATGTGATTTTGCTAAATTAGAATTAGCATTCTTAGGACATATTGTTAGTGGACAAGGAATTTCCCCTGACCCCTCCAAAATTGACAAAATCAAGAATTTCTCTATTCCAAAGAATATTACTGAACTCTGAGGATTCTTAGGCCTCGCATCTTATTATAGGAAATTTATTCAGGACTTCTCTACATCTGCTGCACCTCTACATTTATTATTGCGAAAATACGTACCTTATATCTAGACTGAACCACAACAAAGAGCATTTGAACATTTAAAAGTTTGTTTAACTACTGCACCAGTCTTAATATACTCTGACTTCAAACGAAAATTCTTATTATTTACTGACGGATTGTATATTGGACTTGGAGCAGTATTAGCACAATTGGATAATGATAATAAGGAACGTGTTATCGCTTATGCTAGCCAGAGTATAAGTGGTGCTGAACGGAACTATGCTCTAACGGAATTAGAATATCTTGCTGCTGTATGGGAATGGAACATTTTCGACCTTATTTATTATATCAGCAGTTTGAATTAATTACTGACCACGCAGCTTTACAATGGCTTTTTAATAAACCAGATTCATCTTGCAAATTTATGAGATAGATTATTCATATAATAGAATTCCCTTATCAGATTCGATATAAAAAAGGAAAATTACACTCAATCGCAGACACATTGTCTCGACTTTCTTTACGATAAATTAATTAATTATTAGAATTTTTAGAGTAAAAGTGAAAGTGCTAGCAGTGTGACTAGCAGCTCAACAACATGGAATTCGAAACTTATCATCAATTATTTCAATATCTAACCCAACTTACATACCCTCCAAACCTTACTCCTTCACAACAACTCACAATTTAAAAACAAGCATAACATTATTTCGTGCAAAACTAACAACTTTATAGACGTAATCGCAAATAATCTGCACAACCATTACTTATAGTAAAATCAAATAAAGTTGAATATATTCTACATAATATCCATAATGAACCTTTAGGAGGACATTTAGTAAGGGATATTACATATAACAAGATTGCCTCTCGATATTATTGGCCAAGTATGTATAAAACTATTGAAAATTGAATACAAACATGTGATGTATGCCAATAATAAGGAAGGCCAAAACTCAAAGAACCCCTGCATCCTATACCTGTTGGACAACCCTTTGACCATGTGGGAATTGATTATGTAGGACCGCTTTCACATACTACTAAAGGAAATCGGTATATCATTGTAGCAACTGAATATCTAACTAAATAGGTTGAAGCTAGTGCTACACCAGATTGTACTACTCAAACAACTGCGCAATTTATGTATAATGAAATCATCTATCGACACGAAATGCTAAAAGAGATATTTATTGATAGAGCAACGTCATTTCAAAATGAATTAATCACTGCACTATTGCATATAGTTAGAACTAAACATAGATTATCTTCACCATATCACCTCCAGACTAATGGCTTGACAGAACGTTTTAATAGAACATTATGCACAATTTTGGCAAAGTATGCTGAACAACACTATGGCGAATGGGATACGTATCTAACTTCAGCACTTTTTACATATCGTACAGCACAGCAAGGAATAACGAAATTTGAGCCATTTGAATTATTATATGGACGAAAAGTAGTACTACCAATAGATTTACAATTGCGACGACCTTCTCCTATCAGTAACCTATCAAATGATATGGAAAAGCATCGACAGATAATCACATCGCAATTATAACAATGACGCTTAGATGTACAACAGAATATAATGCAATGACAACAACAGCAACAGGAACGTTACAATAAGGATCGACCTGGAATTTCTTATCAAA